TAAAGCGTTCTTGTGTCTTATTGTGGTGTGAGCTACTTATCAGTAGTAAATGACGCGAGTGCCAAAGTAATTTCTGGCAGCGGAAGATGGGGGAAGATCAAGAAAGGAAGAGTTAGAAAACAATGGAATTTGTATGAAACGCATGAATAGTGACAATGGATTGATGTTTGGCAACAGGAACAGTCCAGTTCGATATGATGAACTGATATTTTGCAAATTAACGACTTACGATATGGTTTTCCAATTTTACTGAGTAACTCTGTAATTTTCGCTAAATACAATCCGGCTGCCCCACCTGTGTTCTCGTTCACTACATTATGACCATTCTATGGGTCATTTGTTACTTTAGATGGTATGATTAGGAAGCAGGATCACTAGATTATTTATCAACTGCACAAATTATGCCTTCTGATAACTTGAGACAATTTGATTCTTTGTCCGTGACTTTTCGCTAATTCGACTTAACTAAAGTGAACTAGGTACATAGTAGCATTAAATGCCTCCTGGGGCGCTCAGGGACATTAAAGTGGTAAATGTTTGGTGGACTTGGTTTCCTCAGCTTATAGCAATTCAAAATTAAAATCATTTCGAGCAACCTTACCTAAAACACTACATTTTTATTAAGAGAAATTTGAAATAAAAGGATATGAGTCAGAAGTAAGGTTGTGAAGAATGAGGAAGTTAATATTAAATGAGATAAAGTGTATTTAGAGAAGGCGTGGTTTGGGAACAAAATATGTACATCTTATCTTCAAACACCCGTTTGAAAAACAGTCAGATTGTTGAATGTCCTCTACTTCACATCTTCTGGTCTCTATACCACAACGATCAGGTTATGCATTTTGGTCTCCTTCCTTTCTTCTCCCCGAGTGCGACTTCCAAGCCACACTACGCTTTATACTAATTATTTGTCATTTTGTGAGTACAATCGATCGAAAGACTTATGCCTTACACGCACAAGCAGTCATAGTAGGCACCAGATTCCCACACAAACTCATCAATAAGGTTTGATAGGTTTCGCAGGATCACACTGCACAGAACCAAATTGATCACACTGAAACAATAGAAAGTTCAGAAGCACTATAGAGAACTTGGGAACAAAGGGGGAGTTGATATAGCTTCAGATCATCACTTACACAGAACTAAACAAAGAAGTGCAGAGGAGCATAAGAACTGATAAGCGAGAACATATGGAAGATCTAGTAATGATAAAAGAAAACGCTGCAAGAGAAAGAAACATGAGACAGTTATACAACATAACAAAGAAGCCTGATGGAAAATACGGCAAACCAGAACGACTATTGAAGAAAAAAGAAGTCAGAGCCATCACTGACATTGTAGAACAACGAGAGAGATGGGTAGAGCACTCTGAAGAAATCTTTAGTAGGACAGTCTCATGCATCATCGAAGCAGTGCCTATGGACCTGATAATTGAGATTAATCCACTGACAGTTGGAGATGAGTGTTGGTATCAAGCAAATCAAGAATGGCAAAGCCGAAGGACCAGGCAACGTACCTAATGGAGCACGAAAAGTAGATATCACAGTAACCCCAAAGATGTTGTACACTCTGTTGAGCGAGATTTGTGAGGAGGAACAAGCAACAACAGTCTGGAAGGAAAGACATCTCATGAAGATAACAAAGAAGGCATATCACAGCAAGTTTGAGGACTACAGAGCCTTCACTCTATTGTGAATAACAGGAAAAGTCTTCGAATGAACATAGCTCAGCAGAATGAACGATTCCGTAGATTGAGTACTGATTAAATATTGACTATACGGATCAGTGTGGAACAATACATTGAATGGAAGTCACTACTGCACATCAACCTATTTTACTACAAAAAAGCATTTGATAGCGTGGACAGGATGACTTAATGGAGTATTCTTTGACACTATGGTGTACCTGAGAAGATAGTGTAGTGGAACTGTTTTGTCGAGAAAGCACGATTACTGACGTACAAATACTTATTATTGAACATATGTAACAATAACTGTTTTATTGTACATCATTTGTTTATTTGTACTGAAAGTCACTTTTCGAGCGCCACCCACGCCATCCCTGCGGATCTATCGATCGCTTCGTGTAATCATCGATTGTACAAGCTGAACACGTGATATTATTCTAATATCACTCGACTTTCTATCAATAAAAATCGATATACTATATACAATCTTCTGTTCTGGAATAAGTGTGGGCGTGTAAACTTCACGGCTCTACAATAGTCAACATCTTACGGTATTCTAATGATGGACTACACTGCAAGATCTTACATGTAGGACCAATCACAGACTCGTTCCACTAGAAAACCGACGACAGACAATGTTGCTCAATCTCATCTCTTGGTAGCCAACTGGATTATAAAGACGCCAAAATTTGAGGGGAATCCCGGAATACAGTCAAAAGCTGAGATGTAGGTGAATGATCTGGACATCACAGATGATCTAACTTTTCTACCTCACAGCACAATATATGCAACAGAAAACGGCCAATGTGGCAGCAGCCTTTCCTGAAGTAGGTCTCAGAGTATTTAAAGAACTACGAAAACTAACATCCACAAGATACAGATATTCATGTACTTTTGTCTACGCAAGATACTGAAGATCATTTACCCAGACAACATGGGTAACAACTTTCTGTTTTAAACAGCAAACCAGATTCCATCAGAGACAGAAATAAGCATAAAGCGTCGGGGGTGGATAGGATATACATTGCTGAAGTCATCCAACTTCATTACAAGACAAACCGAAACTAAAAGGGATAGAGGAAAATAGGAACACACTGCTCCGAGAACTGGAGGCAGATATGGAAAGAATGAACACCGTTTGAGTGGAACTGGAGGGGAAGTCCCAAGACAGAGTTGGTCAGAGAATGCTGGTCCCTGGCCTATGCTCCTTTAGCGGTATTAGGTATAAGTATGTAAGTAAACGATTAACGTTTCAGTTACATACTTACAAGTTTCTTTCAAAACTAATCAAAGATACAGAAACTCGTGCTGGTTGGTAAAAGGACTTTTGAAACCCACCGCTGTACAACATAATGGCTACTAACTTCTACCTTCCATTTTGGCTAGCTTTGCTACTTTTGCATTTTTAGGTCAGTGTATTCGATCGACAAATTCATTTGATTTAGCTCAAATAATTGCTACTGACCTGAGTCAAACAAATACAAATGTTCCATGTTAAGTGACAGCACGAGGATATTTCTCACACCAGAGGCTCATCAGAATGATGAAGAGAACAAATATTTCATCGTAAGCTTAAATTGATTCCTGCGACTGTCGATGTTACTGACATCAATAATAGTAAATTTGGTTCTCTAGTAGTATTAGATGAACCAAATTAGTTACTGTAAATTAGTGGAATGCCAAAATCTAACCCTCATTACTATTCACTTCAAAGTACTTTAGAATTACTCATTTATGACTATACTACTCAATAGTAGACAGGGTCTACTCCTTTCTCTTTTTTCTTATTAGTTGAGTTAATTATCAACAAAATGATTATGTCCCCATTGGTTTGAGCATGTTTTGCATAAGCAGCCATTTTGAACCCGTTATTTCTACATTGAGTTGTTTTTTAGTTGACTGTTGCTGTTGTCTTATCATCTTGAATGTAAACTTAAACGTAATTAATTACTATTTATTGGAGAACCACATTTGTGTAATATGTATACTAAATATATATATATATATATATATATATATATATATATATATATTTCCGAGTAACCAAGATGGTCTTCTGACTTAAAAAGACTTCGGGTACATTATTCCGACGAATTCAACCGCTATTCCGGAGAATTTAACAGTACTCATTTTATCTAATTCGAACCCCATTTTCAAAATTCAATAAAG